AGAAACAGAGAGACCCAGTGCTTCTGATAAGCATCCTTTTTTGACCCTGCAGTGAAATGCTGGACGTATGTATGCTGCCTTCAGTGGTAGGCAGAATAGTGGCCTCCCCATGCCTAAGATGTTCACATCCTAACATCCGCTATCTGTAAAGATGCTGTCATGCACAGCAAAATGGACCCTGCAGAGGAGATTAAGCGAACAACCTTGAGCTAGGGAGAGTAGCCTGAACTGCGCACGTGGGCCCATTGTAATCACAAGCATCCTTCTAAGTGAAAGCAGGAAGCAGTAGAGTCAGAGAAGGCAATGTGGTGATGGAAAAGTCTCTGAGTGATGCAGCGTGAGAACGCAGCAAGCCAGCTGGCTCTGACGATGGGGGCCCGAGCCAAGGATGGCGGGGAGCTTCTAGAAGCTGGACAGCTCGAGGAATGGGGTTTTTCCCAGAAGGAATGCAGCCCTGCCAAATTTCTTCATTTTAGCCCAGCAAGGCCGATTTCAGATTCCTGCCTGCCAATGCTGTAAGATCATGAATTGACCTTCACATTTGTTATGGCCGCTGTAGGAAAACACTGACTTCCTTAGGAGATGCTATGCTTCTTACAGACAGGGAGTGAGAGCGTATGCCTCTCTGTGTGACTCAGCAGCAATGACTTGTCCACAGTTACCTTCAGGTCAATCCTAGTCCCAGGAACTCTTAGGAGGGCCAGGTAGAACTGTGCTCCACGGACTTTCAGTGGCTGGTTTATCACAGTAGCTCACTAGCAGATTCCAGGGTATCTGTGTGGACCCAGAGCTCCAGTTCTTTGGGCAACATCCAAGTGTGTTAACGGTTAACCATTGGAAGCTCCCAAGGACTTCTACCCACAGTAGTGCTTAGTAAATAAGTGTGAATCCATCAACTCAATGAAAGGTCTTGTGTCCACTAGAGACACCAACACTTGGGATTTCCAACTGAGTGTCCTCTGGTGGTTTTTTGAGATGAATACATCTGGCTTGGACTAGAAGCTTCTTGAGGGAACTGTGTCAAGCTGCTGACTGGCATACTGAGCCGTGCCCGGGGCTTACTTGGTGACGTAAGCTAGCACTACGATTGCTTCGGGAGCAAGGGGAGAGGAAGGAAGCCAAAGACATCACAATTCTTACATGGACATTTCTCAGGTCAAGGACCTTCCTTTGACCCTACTCGGCAGAAAGCCTTCCAACCTTATCCTGGGGGTTCCTGTACCACAGAGAGCCAGACTAGATATGTTCAATGGCAAGGGTCAGCCCTTGGGATGACAATGAAACAGAAATTGTCAGAAACAATGGTTTCCTCTTTCTAGGTCCCCATCTTCCCGCTCCTAGGAAAGAACCTGGCATTTAGAACCTGTGCTACTCTGTGCATTGATATCAGCAGGTATATGCCCTAGAGTGGGTGCCTATTCTCCATTTTTTAGTAAAGATTGCTTTCCTCCCTAGCATATCCCAGAAATTTCTGTTGCCCTCATCCCAGGCTGGCCTCGCTGAGATAATCTAGCACGAAAGAAAGCTCAAACTAAAATTCTTAATTATTCCCATTTGCCAAGTGCAGAGACAAGAGCACAGCATTGCCACCCAATCTTTGATTCTTGGATGCCTTCCAGGCCCATTTTGGATGGATTCATTGAGACCCATGAATCATAAGGATCCTTCCATGTCCATATGTATAGGAGGTGGGAAAAAATGCAAGTCTTTAGGGTAGATCCCAGGGACTTAATATGAGCAACAGCATTAATTTCATTATATATCATTTGAAAACGGGAGGAGACGTTTCGGGACAAACGCATTCCTTTCGCACCTGAGGAGTTGCGGCAGACCCATCTGGAGGCACTAAGCAGGCAGTGGAGCTGCAGAGTCTAGGGCTCAGGCCTGAAGCCCTTCCTCTGTGCATCTATGCCTGAGAGTTACTGGTGGTGGGAGCTAATGTAGGAAGAACAGAGAAAGCCTTCCAGAGTGAAAAGAGAAGAGGCCAAGTCCGAAACCTGGGGAGAAAACAAAGAACAAAGAGATTGAGGGGGGAAATGATAAAAGAAACCGGAGAAGAACCAGGAAACTGCTTTGCATTGGTTTATTTTGTTTTGTAAAGCTGAAGAGGGGAGAGTTTCGAGAAGAGGTTGTGGTCAGTGGTGTCCGATGTTCCAGTAAGGTCAAGGATGAGGAGACCGGAAAAGCAGCCCTTGCAGGCAGGAGGAAGGTGAAAGGAAACAGAGGAAAGATCTAGGAAGCAAAGCTATGGATAGAGGTATACACATAGTTGTGTCCATATGTAAATACATTAGTTCATAAAAACAGAGGTGTTGGCCTATGTACGTATATTTATATGGCAATACACTGAGGCAGTGGATGAACTTTGGGCCTCTGCTCAAGCCCTCCCTCAATGCAAGAACATTTGTTCTAACAACCTGGCATTCTGTGATGCTCACCCTCCCAGCATGATCGCTTAAGACAAACTGGGTACATAAGCAAACGTGGTGAAGAAAGTGGATGGTGCCCAGCTATCAAAAAATATAGCGTCTGGGGTCTTAACAGCTTGAAGTTAAACAAGCAGCCATCTAGCAGAGAAGCAACAAACCCACATGGAAGAAGCACACCAGCCTATACGATCATGAGGTGTCGACAGGATCGGGTAACAGGCATCAACAGACCCCAAACAAACACACAAACAAATACAAACCATATTGTTGAGAACGAGGGAGGTCAGAGCAGAGACCAAAAACCCATCTGTAGACAATGGGACATCCCCCTCACTAAACAGTAACAAAGAAAGGATGAGTCAACCAGGGCACCGTAGCATTGATGAAACACAATATTCCTCTGGTTCCTTGAGGCTTCCTCACCACCACCCCACCACCCCACTATCATGACCCCAGTTCTGCCTTTCACTGCAGTCTAGACTGTAGCATGTGCACAGGTACAGATAGGAGTTAAGAGCTCATGACACATGGAATCCAGGAACAGGTATGAGAGTAGCGATAGGGGGTAGGGAGAATGGTGGGAGAAGGGTGGGAGGAAGGGGGAACCTACTGCAATACCCTAGGGGGGATGAACAACAGAAACCTTGGGTGAGGAGACAGCAGTCAGTGTAAGATATAAAAATAATAATAATTTATAATTTTTCAAGGGGTCATGAGAGTGGAAGGGGGAGAGGGAGGAAAAAAAGAGGAGCTGATACCTAGGGCTCACATAGAAAGTAAATGTTTAGAAAATAATAATGGCAACATATGTACAAATATGCTTGATATAATTGATGTGTGGATTGTTATAAGAGCCTTAAGGGCCCCCAATAAAATGATCTTTTAATTAAAAAAAAAGACAAGAAGCCCCCGCATCAGGCAGGGTGTGAGGTGTGGGTGGGAAGTGTGCATGTGTGCTGTAGGGGAGAGTGACGGAAATGGAATCCCAGAATCCCAGAGGCTTCTGCTACGAATACGTTGCATCTGAAGAGCCTGCACCAGACACTGAAGACACAAAGCTGAAGGTCCAGGACAGAGGTCCTCCCTGGAGATATTGCTATAAAATCACAGAAACATGAATTAAAGAAAAGTATCGGCACGTGAAGTTACTGTTTCTCAACATCCCCTCCATCCGTCTCAACATTTCTGAAGGCGATGCTGCCATCTCACTAACCCTTCCTGGAAAATAAAACAAGCAAACAAGACCCGCCCCCCCCCC